TTGATGGTCATTATGCTGTTAAACATTATGTAATATTGCATCAAAATTTAAAAAAATATTTTGGGCACTGCTCCCATGATGACCATTCCAGAAAAACCATGGCACTTACTGTTCTTAAACTTACAGGAAAGAAACCTGGGACTAAAATACAGCTTCAGTAGGCAATGCAATCTGTTTGGTAATTCTTACTGCCAGTTAAACAGTTTTTTTTGTGAAACTTTAATTTTTCACATATTGGCATTTTCAAGGTGTGACTTTGAAGTTCCACGGGCTTGAATACCCATGCTAGTCACATTTTCTGAAAATACATGATACGTATATTTAATTATTAAAAATTGACGGTCATTAAGCTGTTAACCATTGTGTAATATTGCATCAGAATAGAAGAAAACAAAATTTTGGGTGCTGCTGCCATGATGACCATTATGGGAAAACCATGTTACTGATGATTGCCAAACTTTCAAAAAAGAAATACAGGACTAAAAATGCAGCCTGAGTTGGAAAAACAGTCTAATTGGCTTCTTTTTCTGGAAGTTATACATTTTCAAAGTGCGAACTTGAACTCCCATGGGCCTGAAGCCTTATGCCTTTTACACATTTTACTTACATTGGTATTACCTGTTGAGCATAATTAAAATTTGATTTTGAATTTGCAGTTTAACATAATGTACTTTTGCATCAGAATTGACAGTAGCCTATTTTGTGCATAGTTATTTCCTGCTTTTTGTCTGTACATTTGACAGCTTTGCTGCCTTGTTTACTAACGAAATAAGGAGCATCAGACTCCAAAAGAAGCTTAGAGTCAGGTACCTCCCAAGTGCTGCTAGTTGGTTTTTATTAAAGGTGGCAGCAACACGAGTAAAACCAAAAAAGGTGTTTGGTTGCTGCTTTCCCCAAATTTCATTAAGCTACTATGTGCCTGTAAAGGAGTGAAAATGAATCCTCTGGGACTGTGAAACGCCACACAGTTTCAGGTGAAACAAAAGTGACCTTATGGAGAACTCCAGAATCTCCCCTCACTCCCCTACAGTGTACAACCAGGACATGCCTGGCCTCTAGAAAAGGCAGCAGTCTGTGGAGCAACTCAACCTGATCCTGCCATTTAGACATGGCTTCAAGTGTGGTCGAAACCTACCTCGCCAAAAGCTGTTACTTAACCAACTCTGAGAAAGTCTTAATTGCTTGGTCCAGATTGCCCTGAGAAAGCTTGCCGGCCAGCCTAGGGTGAAAACCAATAGCTACATACTCGCCCCCAGACAAAGTGGAAAGATACCCGTTAGTGGAATATGTCTTGGGATCGCAGTAAATAGCTACAGTCCCCACCAACTCTACCTCTTTCACAGAGCAAACAGGAAGCAAACCGACCCTCTAACTTGCCAGAGTATGGAAGACCAAAGGCAGCCAGGGTTCTATCTGAAATTCAGATAGAATATTCTTTAATTTTTCCCTCTGAATTTTGTTTAAATTCCCCTTAGATATTTCATAAACCACTTTTACATGATCAGGAATTTCTGATGTTTTGCTAGCGACACATCCAGAAGAATCTAGTCCGGTGTGAACTTCACCAGCGATTTGTTGAAAATTCCGCACCTGAGGTGACCCCTTTACAGGTGACTTGAAAATTTCGGTGTTAATTTTTTCTTCAACTAACCCCTTTCCGGCAGATAGGGCACTTAAAGGTCCCTGAGCACTTCCACCCACCTTTAGAGGTTGTTTACTTTTTGTGTCATTTTTAAATCGGGTACTTTTTTTAGAGATATTCTCCAAATTAGGGGAATTAACACCACAAACCCTTGTAGAATTTAATACCACAAGTTTTGTCCTGTTTGGGTGCACACTACCCTGAGTGTCAGAGAAACGTAAAAGCTAGCTTGCTAAATATACCTCGTGGTGGAGTCGCTTTTACGACTGGTATTGTTGATATGGGTTATATATGAAATCAAGATCGAGCTGACAATACCGGAATCTAGAACCTAGGGTAGTGCACACTTGTTCTAGGGATTTTACCAGTTATAGGAGGGTAAATTGAATCCTCCACTGGTAAATTGAATCCCACAAGTGTGTTGTAGAATCCCTTCCGGTTTTAGGGACGGCTGATTTTACATGCGTAATTTCAGGTAATCCCACCAGTAGATTGGTAGTCTCATCAATAGTACTGACAACACGAGCGCTGGATTGATCATTTATAGTAGACCCCCCTCCCACTCGATGTAAACCGAAGTGCGAAACAGGGTTTTCTCAAATTTCCGAAACTTCGCAAGCCATAGCGACCACATGACCCCTTTTTTAATTTTTTGTATTGATCAGATGGGTTTACGAGGCACACGACTGGTTTTGAATTTTCAGACAAGACAGTTCTGGGTATTAGTAGTCCCTCTTCTTCTTTACCTTGAACGACAATTTTTCCAACTTTTTCCAACTTTTCGTCGATCTCGCTCGTTATCCTAAGTGCTGAAGTTGGGGGTACTACCACATTTCTTGACACACTAACCAAAGCTATCTTTATCTCTTGTGCACTCCATTTGTTGCATTGGTATGTCGCGCCCTTCTATTTGAATATAACCCAAATTGCAATGCTTGCTCGCATTAAACTGGGCCATTAGGTCGTGGCCTAACAAAAAATCGTCATGTATCGGCGCTACTCGAACAGTTTCCTTGATTTTGAAAATCTCTAGTTTGATGGAAATTGGCTCGCAAACATGAGTTTCGATTTGTGTATCCCCTGCCACAAGAGTAAGACTAATATTTCTTGACAGTGTTCTCCACAACTTGAAATTATAAGGTGGGGGAAGAGCAGTTATGGTGAGGGTCTCTGGAAGCGAGCGCCAGAGGCGCTCGCCATGCTAGGGGGGTCCGGGGGCATGCTCCCCCGTGAAAATTTTGAAAAATTGGTGCAAATACCTGCATTCTGGGCAATTTTAGAAGTTTAAAAGGTCATTTTTATGGTAAGAGAATTCATCATTTCTTTAATGATAACTATGATCATTTTGTAGATGTTCCTGTGTCAAGTTTTACTTTATATAAACAATAGTCATGGCTCTGAATTAAACTTCACTTTTATTTTTGAATAAATCTCTGAAACATAAGGCATTTCACATTGTTTTTATGGCTTCATTGACATCAGGTTACATTGAAGTAAAGTTAATAAAATGCAGTGCACTCTTCTGAAACAATCTAGAATTTGTACTTGTGAGTTTAAAACTTATTTTATCTCTGGGATAAAATAAAATGTCTACAGGGCAATCATAGCCTTCTCCACGAGTAGTGTGTGGGAGATCTTTCTTCATTAAAAAGTACATGCACTTCAGTGCACCAATGAAAGCCTCTGTTTCCACAGACACCACATCCTGCGTAACAGCTGCTATCCCTCCATCTATCTTTGATTGTCTGTATTCCACCTCTAAACTGTGAGACACCTGATGCATGGTGGACTGTTCATGTCTCTAATAGTGTCTTCTCTGTACGTCTGGCACCCAACTTTGGTCCAGATGTCAGTGCCTTTCTTGGACCTTTGACCATGGCTTGAACACCAGGCACAAAACATACCTGAAACAATGCATTTCTATGGTTAAACAATGGTATTTGATGTTTATGTAGCGTTACATAATAATTTAACGAAGCAACGATCTTACGCCAAACAGATATACGATAGCATCGACGTTGCTGCCTTTGCCCTGCTCTAAATGACTGTGAATGAACTTTTATTGATATTTAAATTAACAAATGGGTTCAAAGTCTTGTAAAGCTTCTTACATTTTAAAAATAATCTAATCATTCCGGATTAAAAATGTATGAATACATCATCTCATTGGGATACATCATCTCATTGGATTGATATAATTATCCCAGATTTTAACAATTATTAGGCATTTTGTGTTCAAATTTCACAAAAGTTCCAACAGGTTTAGCAGAGTTCTGTATATTTAACTATGTTCAATCTGAGAATGTGCTGGTCCCTTTTGTCACAGTTGTGCTCAGTAGCCTCCATAAGGCAAGGTAATTTGTGTACCTTCACTTATACATTGTAATGTCTCTTTTTCCAGCTCCAGTCTCCATACAGCATGGTGTCTTCTAGTTGAACAGATTTTAACTGGCTGAACGTGGGGGGAATGTATTTTATAAGACTGAAGCAGATACTAAAAGGCAGCAACAGGAACATCTTCATCTCACCCAGTTGTGCAAGACACGGGATGTGGCAAGTTTTAGAATAAATGAGACAGGGCAGCCATTGTAAACAGGTGACTTCTTGCAGATAGCAAACAAATTCAAGTTTTATTGTCATTAAGTGCTCAAAACACAAAATGAATACTTTTATTTTAATTTATGTGAGCATTATCAAGATATAAATATCAAGTATGGTGATACAAAAATGATCTTGTGCATCTTACAAAACCATCCTATATATGAATAAAGTATCATTAGATGGTTCCTAATAGTAGTTTGCACTATATAACATAGATGGCCCAAATTCATTTCAAACAGTTATACTCATTTCATTTATGTTTTTAGCAAATACACTTCTGGAATTGTGTAAAGAGCTGCTGGCAGACCAAGAGGTCAGTTTTATCCTGATTGAGAGAGAGTGCTGCTAGAACCACCCAGAACAAGACCTCCAAACACGGCAGATCCTGTGGAGCCAGTTATATGGAACAGTACAATTACACAACAAATGTGGGTTCCAGGTAACACAAAGAATCAATTTCCCCCATATCCATGGAAACTATAGAGGCAGGGTATATAAAGCAAGGATCGAGATTGTGTTGGACAATACCCTGTCACTGAAGATGAATAGACACAATGGAAATGTTTAAAAGTGAACTGATATTTCAGCTCAGTTGTGATGTGCTATATATTAATTTTCCCCATATGCATGGAAACTGTTACAGTACTAGTAGAGGTAGCATATACAGTGAGATTGTGGTAAACAATAAGCCGTCACTGAAGAGAAAAGGGCACCAGTGAAAATGTTTTAATGTGAATATATATTTCAATGCAGATATCATGTGTTATAGATGATCTCTGTTATTGTGAGGTCATTAAGTTGCAATTGCAAGTTTTATCACCTTTTTATTATATACAGACACTTTCAGTCTGTCTATATTCTGATCACTGTGTCTGTCCAGTGTCATTGTCATAGTCAGCACTTTGTGACATATCTGTTGTTTACACTATAACTGATAAACTGCATTTTGGATTTTTTAATCTTAGTTCCATGATTGGATTATTTAATGATATTGTTTTGTTATTGTTAGCAGTTTGGATATGATGCTACAGTATTTCCTGAGTATATCAAATTTAAGAAGCAATGTAGATGTGTTTGTGCATCAGGAGTGGTGTTAGTGTATCTGCCTGTTACAATGTGGAGTTTATGCCCACTGGTGTGAACAACTAAGGCTTTTTCTTTTTTCATCATCTTGAACAACGTCCAGATATTTTTCCTTTTTATGTACAGACACAGATGTGTCTGTACATATTGCCATCACCTGCGTCTGTCGTCGCCGATGCCGATGCCGATGCCGATGCCGTCGCCGTGCACTTTCACTGTAAACACGATAAGTGGAACACAGTTTTATTTTTATGTACNCTAACTTTTCATTGATCTCGCACGTTATCCTAAGTGCTGAAGTTGGGGGTACTACCACATTTCTTGACACACTAACCAAAGCTATCTTTATCTCTTGTGCACTCCATTTGTTGCATTGGTATGTCGCGCCCTTCTATTTGAATATAACCCAAATTGCAATGCTTGCTCGCATTAAACTGGGTGATTAGGTCGTGGCCTAACAAAAAATCGTCATGTATCGGCGCTACTCGAACAGATTCCTTGATTTTGAAATGATCTAGTTTGATGGAAATTGGCTCGCAAACACGAGTTTCGATTTGTGTATTCCCTGCCACAAGAGTAAGACTAATATTTCTTGACAGTGTTCTCCACAACTTGAAATTATAAGGTGGGGGAAGAGCAGTTATGGTGAGGGTCTCCGGAAGCGAGGGCCAGAGACGCTCGCCATGCTAGGGGGGTCTGGGGGCATGCTCCCCCGTGAAAATTTTGAAAAATTGGTGCAAATACCTGCATTCTGGGCAATTTTAGAAGTCTAAAAGGTCATTTTTATGGTAAGAGAATTCATCATTTCTTTAATGATAACTATGATCATTTTGTAGATGTTCCTGTGTCAAGTTTTACTTTATATAAACAATAGTCATGGCTCTGAATTAAACTTCACTTTTATTTTTGAATAAATCTCTGAAACATAAGGCATTTCACATTGTTTTTATTGCTTCATTGACATCAGGTTACATTGAAGTAAAGTTAATAAAATGCAGTGCACTCTTCTGAAACAATCTAGAATTTGTACTTGTGAGTTTAAAACTTATTTTATCTCTGGGATAAAATAAAATGTCTACAGGGCAATCATAGCCTTCTCCACGAGTAGAGTGTGGGATTTCTTTCTTCATTAAAAAGTACATGCACTTCAGTGCACCAATGAAAGCCTCTGTTTCCACAGACACCACATCCTGCGTAACAGCTGCTATCCCTCCATCTACCTTTGATTGTCTGTATTCCACCTCTAAACTGTGAGACACCTGATGCATGGTGGACTGTTCATGTCTCTTTATAATGTCTTCTCTGTACGTCTGGCACCCAACTTTGGTCCAGATGTCAGTGCCTTTCTTGGACCTTTGACCATGGCTTGAACACCAGGCACAAAACATACCTGAAACAATGCATTTCTATGGTTAAACAATGGTATTAGATGTTTATGTAGCGTTACATAATAATTTAACGAAGCAACGATCTTCCGCCAAACAGATATACGATAGCATCGACGTTGCTGCCTTTGCCCTGCTCTAAATGACTGTGAATGAACTTTTATTGATATTTAAATTAACAAATGGGTTCAAAGTCTCGTAAAGCTTCTTACATTTTAAAAATAATCTAATCATTCCGGATTAAAAATGTATGAATACATCATCTCATTGGGATTGCTCACGTTCAAGTGGATTGCAGGAAGGGCAGGTCTACTAGTAATATTCAAGACTGTCAATCTACTTCCTTATACAAGCATAAAGGCGGGGTAAACGGAGCACGTGACAAAATCAGCCTATCGCTATGCAAGACTACTTTTCACAAACGTCATTCATGAAGAGCACATGGTCGAAATTGGCTAAAACTGCCTACGTGATCGGAAAATGTACAGTCAGTGTTAGAAATTAAGGCTGGACCGTCTGCCCGGAGCAGACAACTTTCAGAACGGGCAGAGAAGTTTTCCCACTCGGCAGGCATTCTAGCCAGCTAATTTCCAAGATGGCTGAGCCTTCGGTCCAGCAACTCATTTTCCTAAGAGGCAAACACTGTGTACAATGTATCTTTTCGATTAGCGGCCACGTTTTCTTGTAATACGAAAGAAATACATATGTATTAAAGCAACATCCCTGACATTAAAGTGATTGGTTTGGTTTTATTTTCCAGTTGTATATAGATTCCAGTAAGTAATGAAGTAACAAACGCAAGATATGGTGAAATTTGTAAAATTTTGTAAATTTAATGAAGAATAATGTAGTCAACTTACCTTCATCAGGTTCATGTCAAAGCCATGTATACTTCTTCAACCACGGAGCGTAAAACTCCATCCTATGTTTGGGTTTTTTAGGTGCTGGTTCGCTGGTCGTTTCGTCATTTACCTGTACGGATTGTCATGTGACAATAGATAATTGGTCTCCTAATCTTCCTGAGAAAAAAACAATAATCATATTTTGTTTACCTTTAAGTTAGAGTAATTTTTTCACGATTTAGAATTTTATTAGCAATTTCTTAAGTGACTTCTCTCAAATTACTCCTCAGAAATTGTCTATAAATTAAGCACAGCCAATTGATATAATTATCCCAGATTTTAACAATTATTAGGCATTTTGTGTTCAAATTTCACAAAAGTTCCAACAGATTTAGCAGAGTTCTGTATATTTAACTATGTTCAATCTGAGAATGTGCTGGTCCCTTTTGTCACAGTTGTGCTCAGTAGCCTCCATAAGGCAAGGTAATTTGTGTACCTTCACTTATACATTGTCATGTCTCTTTTTCCAGCTCCAGTCTCCATACAGCATGGTGTCTTCTAGTTGAACAGATTTTAACTGGCTGAACATGGGGGGAATGTATTTTATAAGACTGAAGCAGATACTAAAAGGCAGCAACAGGAACATCTTCATCTCACCCAGTTGTGCAAGACACGGGATGTGGCAAGTTTTAGGATAAATGAGACAGGGCAGCCATTGTAAACAGGTGACTTCTTGCAGATAGCAGACAAATTCAAGTTTTATTGTCATTAAGTGCTCAAAACACAAATGAATACTTTTATTTTAATTTATGTGAGCATTATCAAGATATAAATATCAAGTATGGTGATACAAAAATGATCTTGTGCATCTTACAAAACCATCCTATATATGAATAGTGTATCAGTAGATGGTTCCTAATAGTAGTTTGCACTATATTACATAGATGGTCCAAATTCATTTCAAACAGTTATACTCATTTCATTTATGTTTTTAGCAAATACACTTCTGGAATTGTGTAAAGAGCTGCTGGCAGACCAAGAGGTCAGTTTTATCCTGATTGAGAGAGAGTGCTGCCAGAACCACCCAGAACAAGACCTCCAAACACAGCAGATCCTGTGGAGCCAGTTATATGGAACAGTACAATTACACAACAAATGTGGGTTCCAGGTAACACAAAGAATCCATTTCCCCCATATGTATGGAAACTATAGAGGCAGGGTATATAAAGCAAGGAGATTGTGTTGGACAATACTCTATCACTGAAGACAAATAGACACAATTTAAATGTTTAAAAAGTGAATTGATATTTCAGCTCAGTTGTGATGTGTTATAATAACTTTCCCCATATGCATGGAAACTGTTACAGTACTAGTAGAGGTAGCATATACAGCGAGATTGTAGTAGACAATAAGCCATCACTGAAGAGAACAAGACTTCTGTGAAAATGTTTTAATGCAAATACATATATTTCAGGTCATATATGATGTGTTATAGATGATCTCTGTTATTGTGAGGTTATTAAGGTATAATTGCAAGTTTTATCACCTATTTATTATATACAGACACATTCAGTCTGTCTATATTCTGATCACTGTGTCTGCCCAGTGTCATTGCCATAGTCTGTATTTTTGTTTCAATTTTAATTCCTCTAGAATATCAGCATGATTGGACTATTTTATGATATTGTTCTGTTATCTTTAGCAGTTTGGATAAGATGCTACAGTATGTCCTGAGTGCATCAAATTGAGGTAGCAATGTAGATATGTTGGTGTATTTTTGTCTGTCTTTGTTTCTGATTCTGATATTTATTTTGACTACTAAATATTGTCACTGGTGAATTTATGAAATTACTATAAGTTATATTCAGAAAGCTATAAACAGTAATTCCTTTCAGTGAAGTATTTTATTTGTCTGAGTAACATGACATACTTTATGGAAACTAAAAGTGACTTTTATGTCATTACCATAAAGACAATTTGGCATAAATAAATATTCTGTGATTTTTATGTACAGGGACAACGTGACTGCTATAGATTCTCCAGGGTGGATGACTGGATCCTTTCACACTTGAGATGCACTTTAATTGACTGCAGTCAGTCTGCACATTCAAGCCAGTCCTGGTTTCTGTCGTACATGCATACCTTCTCCTCAGTAACTCAGCCTTTAAGCTAATTGCAATGATTGCACTTAGCAAGAATCTCCCCCAACTAGTACAATGTGTCTATCTGACAGATTACAACTCTATAGAATACCACCCTAAGATGTAGATTCTCCAGGGCAGATGACTGGATCCCTTCACATTTGAGATAGAACCATTGCAGGCAGTCTTCACATTCAATCCAGTCCTGGTTTCTGTCGTAAACCTGCCTACAATGACAATATATTGGAAATTTAGACAATTTTTGGTCTCGTATGAGGGTGTTTCTCTGATCTATATGGGAACATTTCCAGCCCACCCCTTTCAAAACATTTGCTGAGATGTTCCCTCATCGCCCTTTGCTCCCAAATGAAGTCCTCAGGTCTTGTTCCAAAGCACAGCAATGGCAAAAAGATTACTGTCATTATCACCAGTTTGCTCCTGAACGTCTTTATGCTCCAAAACAATTTTATTGGATGAAGCAAAAAGCAATGAGGCAGGGATCTCAGCAATCTTACCCTTCAGTCTGGGTCTAGGTCTGGAATTTGAACACAATTGCTAATATTGCTATTAATGTTGGAAAGAGTAAGCCAATGGGAGTTAAGATAAACTATTTGCACAAATGAAGAAGTGGGAGTGGATAAGATATGACCATTTTTAACAAACTCTAGGGCACAAGTACCATGAAAGCCCTCTACCTTTGGGAACATATCTGATAAAATTCCATGGACTAAGACTATTCCATCACTAGTCAACCAGGCATGTCTTTGACTTAATATTGTTTTAAAGAAATGTCATACCTACTGTATGAAAGTTTCTTTCTCTGTTTAAGTGACAAGGAAAGGAAATTACCTTTTCTTTTCATACCTACCTTGCCCTCAACATTAAACTATGTACCAGTACAGAAATAAATTGAATTGAATTGAATTG